CAGTTTGGGTTAAATCCCGTTGTGTTTTCCAGCAGAAGTGAAGCCAATGGGATCGGTCTCTGATCCCACAGTTTGGGTTAAATCCCATTTGCCATGTTGGGTGGAGCACCCACACCCTGGGGCAGGGACAACCGGGATTCCTGGGATCTCCTGCATTCCCCACCCTTGCCAGCCCCTCCTCAGCTGTGTCCCAGTGCAGTGGACTCTGCACTCTGCAGGGAAAATCCCATCAGGGTCCTCTCCCAGCTGCCAAATCCATGGATACCAAGGATCCAGATCCCTCAGATGTTCCTGCCAGTAAAACAGCGATGGTTTTGGGGTGATGCGTGGGAAAAAATGGGATTAAGCAGCTGATCCAAGGAATGTGGGCTGGGACCCAGCATCACCATCCCAGAACCTTCCCGAGAGATCCGTGTGGGATCTGGGATCTCCTGGAGCCTCTCCTGGAGTGGGGACGTGGGGATGGAACTTGGATCAGCAGCTCCGTGCGCTCCTAAAGGAGCTGGAGGTGGGGAAAAGCCTCTGGGATATCCACGGGATGAGGTGGATTGGAGGGAAAAATCCAGGGAAAAAAAAAAAATATGGAAAAGAGCTCCAGGTGATGTGTCCGTGCCCAGCAGGGAATGGACAATGGACACAGAGCCCACTGTGGTGGGAATTCCCCTCGGTCAGAGGTGGGCAGGTGGGTGCAGGCAGCCTGGAGCTGCTCCCGGGATGTGGAAATTTGGGAATTCCTCTCCCCAGGTCAGCATCACCATCATCGAGGCCCGGCAGCTCGTGGGGCTCAACATGGACCCCGTGGTGTGCGTGGAGGTGGGGGAGGAGAAGAAATACACGTCCATGAAGGAATCCACCAATTGTCCTTACTACAATGAGGTGGGTCCGGCCCCGGGGCTCTCCAACCCCTCTGGGTTACTCCGCCCTCAATCCCATGATTTCTTTTTTATCCATGTTTTTTTTGGGGTTAAATTCCTGCTGGAAGAAGGTGAAATCTCAAATCACAGAGAAAAACAAAGCCTTTGCCCTCTGGAATTTTGTGATCAAGGATTCCCAGGTTTTCCGAGAAATCTGCACTTCCATTTGCTCCCCACATCTCCTGTCGGTGATCCATGTGGTCCCACGATCACATGGGATCACATGGATCCATCCCTGCTGGGCCATGGGCTGCAGGAGCTCCCCCAGGCAGCCACAGCT